CCGCACATTGCCCAGTTGGGCTGCCGCAGCCCCAGCCCCACAGCTGGGTGGCACGTGGCCCTGGCTGCGCTGATTCTCCTGGGCTGCTGTGGCCAGCTGTGGCTCCCTGCTGCAGCCCCAGCCCAGGCAGCCCAGTTATGCTGCCACCGAGGCCACCACCACCGCCATCCAGGCTGCTGTGGCCCTGCCATCTCCTAGGCTGACGTGGCCCGGCCCGGCTTCCCCTCTTGGGCTGCTGTGGTCCTGGTCCCACTACTGGATGGCATAGTCCCAACTGCAGTCCGCCCAGGCTCGTGCGGTTCCACTGCTAGCCCACTCGTGGGGATGCACCAGGCTCCTAGCTCCTGGTTCTGCTGTCCTGGAGCTCTCTCATCCAGGAACATCCATGGTCATGCCAGACCAGAGATGTTGCTAGATGAGAGATTCCCAGATTTGGGTGGTACAACCTGTATCAAGCGTTTAAGACCCATGTTTCTAAAAATGGCCCTCATTTTTAGATGCCTCCGTTTTGGGATGCCCAATTTAAACACTTTGGGCTGCTTTTTCAGTCACACTGAATACCCACTACATCAGCTGACATCAGTGGAAGATACAGATTCTCAGGAGCTGTGAGGTCACTTTTCAAAATGTGACACTAAGGGCATGTCTACACCAGGAAATTATTTCAAAATAACACCTGAGATAATTATTTTGAAATAGCATATCCATGCCACAGGGAAGCCTCAAAATTAGTCTGAGTCAGGCTCCCTGAATGTGGATGCACTACCTCTACTTAGAGCCCCAGGAAGCACTGGGGAGTAATTACTTCCAATGACTTTGGGAAGTAGTTATTTCAGAATAGCAGTGGAGCATCCATACTACCGCTATTTCGAAATAAGCATTATTCCTCGTGGAAAGCAGGAGTTGTTATTTCAAAATAACCAGCCCCTTATTTCAAAATAATGAACTTGGTAGCGTGGCCACTCCTGTCCTCTGTTATTTCAAAATAAAGGGAGTTATTTTGAAATAATTCTCTAGTGTAGACCAGGGCTAAGCAACTTATTCATTTACAAGTTTTTTGGTTAGTCCTTATCAGCAAAGGAAAGAAAACCCTTCATAAGGGGTAAGCCAAACTAACTTTCTACAGACATCATTTTATCATGCTTTTTTAAAGTCATAATTCAAAGTTGATCTGAATCTCATTATGGGTGAAATTTGGACCTGGATTCTAATCTGAAAATTCCAGCTCAGGCTATGATGAGAGTAGTGCAGTATTTGTTGATAGTTCCAATAAATGTAAAAAAAAACCCAAAACATGTTGCTGAAAAATTAATTCACAATTATTTGTATACATGAATATTTGTGGCATCACTTCACTCCATTATAAGCCAAAGAGAAGAGGATGGTTACACACAGATGAGTGATTCCCACATTAAATACAGATACATTCTTTTCTCAAAAAGCAACATTTCACAGTAGAGAAATTATATTGACATGAGAAAAGGATCACAGTAACTGTAGCAGAATTTAGGAAAGTTTGAGGCATTTGGGGGAAAAAAACCTCTACATAAATAAAACTACCAGGGCCAGCTAAATTGGGACAAAAAATACATTGATTTGGTATTTATTTTATTTTATTTTATTTAATAAATTTAATGGTAGCGTCTAGTGCCTCTGAGACTGGGGCCCCATTGTGCAACATGCCATACAAATAATAGGATATAGTCTCTGTCCCACAGAGATTACAATCTAGACAAAGACAAGAGAGACAAAGGAAGGACTATTATGCTCATTTACTGAGGGGGACACAAAGAATTCAAATGAGTTGCCCAAGAGGACAAGCAGAGCTGAGAACTAGACCAACAATTCCTGACTCCTGCTTCATGCCTAACCATGAGACCATCCGACCTCAGCCTATGACCAGTACAGGCAGTCCCCGGGTTACGTACAAGATAGGGACTGTAGGTTTGTTCTTAAGTTGAATTTGTATGTAAGTCGGAACTGGTACATATTGTAGGGGAAACTCTAGCCAAACATTTCTCCAGAGCTCAGTTTTATTCTCCCACACCTCACTTCCCTCAGTCCTTTATTCTCAAGCTGAGGTGTCTGCTGAGAAAAGCCGCTCCGTGTCTCACTGGTCTGCTGGGGGGGGCGCTAGCTTCGCGTCTCCCTGGTCTGCCGGGGGAAGCAGCTAGTGCGGGGTTGCCTCACCCTGTTTGTAAGTAGGGATCCGATGTAAGTCGGATCCATGTAACCCAGGGACTGCCTGTATTACAATAATTCTACATTTCCATAGCAGACACAGGAGGTAGTTCTTCAATCAGACTCTTTTGATGTGCCTGCTCCTGACAGGAGCTAAGTGATGTGTACTCCCAGGACATGCATGAAAGTTGAGGGCATTCATCAATACATTCAAAGTGCTCAGCACCTCTCATTGGTTATATGCTTGGGAGGAAAATGCTGATAGTATGGATCAGCATTACGCTGGAGCTAGTAAGTTTCAGGGGGTAGCCGAGTTAGTCTGTACAGGATAAACTTAAAAAACAACAAATAGTCTGGTAGACTAACAAGACATGTAGATGGTATCATGAGCTTCCGTGGGCACAACCCACTTCTTCAGATGACCGGAGTTTTGAGTTTAGGATGTGCAGACCCAAAATAAATAAGGGAGAGGTATACCCTCTGCTCCTTGTTTCCCACTCCCTTTCTTTTTTTTTCCTTCCCCCCACTTTTTCTCCCCTATTTATTTTGGGTCTTCACATCCTAAACTCAAAACTCCTGTCATCTGAAGAAGTGGGCTGTGCCCACGAAAGTTCATGATACCATCTAAGTGTTTTGTTAGTCTATAAAGTGCTACCAGACCATTTGTTGTTTTTTAAGTTTATCTGGAGCTAATGTCCTTCACCTGACTTTACAGCCCATTTCCCATGAATGAGATTTCAGAATCTGCTTCTGCAGCCATGTCCTCCTCTTCTGACCCTGTTCCAGCCTTCACAAGCCCTTGCCACATCCTACTTTACTGGTCATTCTAACAATAGCCTGCACCAATACATTTCTTTGTCTTGTAAGGTCTATGGGACAGGGACATAGTGCAATTTTCAGTGCTAGTCACATTAAAAATCTGATCTAGACAAGCAAAATTCGATCATAAATAAAACATTAAATGTAATAGAATATTTTTTAAGGTTCTCTTCATTATATGAGCTTTTAAAAACATTCTTAGTTTGATAATTAAATAGAAAACCTCGGTTATTTGGTTCCAGAACAACTGGTGTAATGGAAGGAAGTAGTAAAAAGAACATAATTGTCAGAGCACTGCTAAAAGTAACTCTGAAAAGCCATTTTCTTTTGTGTCTCGGGTTTAGTATTTCATCCAGCTAATTAATGATATGGGCAAAAATCCCAAAGGATCCACACAACGTTTTTAAAATAGATTCCATTCTTCAGTCAGATAGTTGAGAATACTATTTTAAAATCTATGATTTATTATTGATAGTTACTTCATATGTTTTCAGTATGTCTGATTCTCAGATTTGTTGTTATGCCTTTCAGCATCTGATGCCCACCTGACTAATCGTGGAGGTGGCGTTGGTCTTGCTGATCTAACATCTTCAGTCACATTTTCTTCACTCAGTGTTCCAAATCTTGGTCTCGACAACAGTGGTTGTCTGTACCCTCTGGACGCGTGAGTTTCATAGGCTGCTTCTCTGTGATCTCCCCTTCCTTCATGGTCTCCATTAACTTCATTCCTCAACTCCATCCTAAACTGCTGCTGAGGCTGCTGATGCCTCTGGTCTTGCAAAATGTTTCGTGCTCTGGGTTTTAAATTGAGCACTGTGGTAGGAGCCTCCAGTTCAGAGTCACTGCTGTCATCCCCTACTGTTAATTTAAAACAAAATTAAACTGTTAGTTAAAGAGTATAACTGCCCGTATGGTGCTGTAAACAAAACAAATGAACAATGCACATTATTAACTACAAAAAATAAAAATGCTTGTGTGTATTTTGACAGTCACAGCCATTTTGCCTGTTTTCCCCGAAATTTTCAGACAGATTTTTGCACTTGTGCTCAGTCAGCTGAACATTTTCATTTGTGACATTTCCTTATACATTTCCAGTTGTTCTAGACAGCAGTCCATCTGCTCCTATGGTGAATGGGAGGGGTAATACCCTTGGAATAGCCTTGACAGATCCCTTCCACTTACGTAAGGGAAAGAAAATGCAACTATATTAATGAGACTCTTAAGGCACTTGCCATGGCTCTGACTGGCCCATCCTAGCTGACTTGGTATCGCAGGGATTGGCCCATACAGCAAAATATTGCAATGTAAGTGTTCATGTTCAGACAGCAGCCCAGGTTCTGAAACCTCAACTGAGCCCAACTGAGACTCAGTGATCTAGGTTTTTTATTGTAGTGGAGATGCACCCATTTGCTACATCTACACTTTGAGCTGGAGGTATAATTCCACACCCCCACACTAGCTCTGATTGAGCCAATACACTAAACATAGCATATCCACCACTGTTCCCTGTAAGCTGAGTGCCTGGGCAGCCACCCAGGAGAGATTCAGGTGCCACCCAGCTGTTTAGAAGAGCTCTCACAGCTGGCAGTATGTGTGTCTACTGGTGGTGCGCACCTGCACTGCCTTGGTGCACACCACAAAATTTATTCTACATATAGGTGGAAAAAATACAGGGCACACTGATAGCCATCATACTGTGAGCAGCCAAATGGGCTAGCTGCCCCAATACAATTCCACCTGCTAGGTATGTACTTGGGAAGCTAGCTTTGCCCACTGCTCAATTTCACCATGGTGACACTTCTGGTTTTAGCACACTAGATTGGAGGGCATGTCTCTTCAAGCTGGAATTTATACCTTCAGCTTGAAGTATAACAGGGTCCGTACTGGGAAAATGTCAGGTCTACTGCATATAGTTCCTCCCTAGCCCTGAAGAATTTGCACTAGGAATGCTCCGCAGGTATTGCTTTGGTAAGTTTGTATGGACAAGAAAGTGGGATGAGCTGCTCTTTGCAATGTTTTGCCATCTCTATGCAGCAGGTATTACATTGAACATCCTTGCTTGAGTGTATAGAGCTCAAATCAATATTAACTCAGCCTCTGTGCATGCATGTTTCTCTCTGCAGCAGCTGCATGGACCAGTCGGGAGGAGATCCTAAGAAGCAGCATGAAGGGACCAACCCTCCACTGGACAAGGGCCCTTCCTTGAGAATCTGGGGAGGTGGGATGTCATGTCTCCTATCTCACTAAACCAACAGAAAGGACACTGTCAAGGCAACACCAGGCAGTAAATTTCAGTTTCCAATCCTTCAAACCCCTTCTCATTGGTCTCTCCACTGGGAACAGTACAAATTGTCTCCATTAAAACTAATAATCTATCAACAAATATTCTTAATTGGTCACTGTCTGGTTTAGTTTAGTTTAGTTCCTGAAAATACATAGATTTCCCCTTTAACAGTGTTCCTTTAAATTTCTTAACATTTCCATCAATATTTGCATACTTTCCATAATTTTAATACGTCCATATTTTATAGCAATTACTGTTTACAAATGAATTGTGTTTTTTTCCTATACTTAAGTCATTGATGGTGCTTTAAATCTATTTTTAATAATATTTAAAAGAAGTTCACTGTGGGACTGTCATAGGAACAGTTCCCATTAGTTCACAGTTCACAGCATTTCTCTTGCCCAAAGGAGGAAGAGGTCAGCAAAATATATGGCTATATTATTGCCCATCCACCCACATAATTTTATTTGAAGAATACCTTCCTCCATCTTTAGTGGCAGGCTTATTGCCTTTTTTTCTAAATGTGTCAAATTATATACTTTTTGACAATGGAATAATCTTGAGGCACATTTCCTTTTCAATGTTTAATTCTAGGTGACAGTGGATGACCTCTGGAGCCAGAGCTACAAAATAAAAGGCATCACTACACTCCAGCAAAGCAAAGACATACGAACCAACTTGCAAGGACAAGTTTGCATGGGGGTCATGTATCACTAATTATGACGGGCAGCATGGGCTGGAAATGTTACCGGATGTAAATGTATTGCATCTTCCCAGTGCTTGCTCTTGATTGTTACTTTACATGGCAAAGAATCAGATGGAGCAGGTTCTAATTATAAATTATAATAAAAATAATATAGAGGCCAGGCCAAAGATGTTCCATTCATACTGGAATTTTCTATGGAAAATTCAGTTTTCAACAAAATGAAAATTTTCACAAAGGCTGTCCAATTTCCATTAAAAAATTTAAAAACTGATGAAAAACCAAATGTCTAAACATCAATTTGTCAAACACTGTGCTATTTGGGGAATGAAATACACTACAGTGTCCAAAAAGACACATCACCCATACGGAGTCAAATTCATCCATGAACCTGGCATTCTGGGCTAGCTGCTATAGTAACACTTAGGCTACATCTACACTGCATAGTTATTTTGGAATAAGATATTCCAGAATAGTTATTCTGAAATAGCTTATTTCGTAATAGCACATCTACACTGCAGGAAAGCCTCAAAATTAATCTGAGGCAGGCTTCCCTAATGTAGACATGCTATCTCAATTTAGAGGCCCTGCAGGAATAACGTAGTATGGCCCTGGTGAGGGGCTATTTCGATATAGGAGAAGTGGAACGTCTACACAGCCCCTATTCCGAAATAACTATTTTGGAATAGGTGTTATTCTTTGTATAATGAGGTTTACAGAAGCCGGAATAAGCCGTCCATTATTTCGAAATAATTTTGAAATAGTGGAATTGCTGTGTAGACGCTCGCATAATTATTTTGGAATAACAGCTGTTATTCCAAAATAACTTTGCTGTGCTAGACACACCCTTAGTGTGCTAATAGGACTTCACTGATGGCATAAAAAGCACTTTGCAAAGGAAAGTAAGCATTATCCACACTTTGCAGACTGAGAAACTGAAACAGAGAAAAGCAGTGATATGCCCAAGGTCAGTGTCAGATTGGGAGCCGAATGCAGGTGTCCTTTCTCCGACTAGATGTTCAATGATCTAGCCACATGTTGTGGCTACTCTTCACCTGGTTTGGACGTAAGAGTCTGTTTGGAAAATAGTCTAGGATCTTAGGCTATGTCTACTCAGCAGTGTTATTTCAAAATAATGGACATTATTCCAAAATAACATAGTCCACGGCTACACACAAGCAGTTATTGTGACATAATGTTGAAATAATGTTGAGCTCGTGGATCACTTACTCCAACTTCTGTAACCGTCATTGTAAGGGAAGTCAGAGGAAGAGTGCTCTATTTCAAAATAACTGCTGTGTAGATATTCCCAAATTTGAAATAAGCTATTTCAACTTAAACTACGCAATTAGCGTAGCTCAAGTTGCGTAGCTTATTTTCGAGTTTAGCCCTGCTATGTGGACGTACGCTTAGGCTTCATTCTTTCTAATTCCTATGACAATGCCTCTTGTCTGCTATGTGTGCGCAGTAATGCAGAGACAATACTCAAGTTTTAGCATCACAAGGTGAAGGGAGAAGAAGGCAAGAGGTTAGCATCATAACACATGGAAATGTTTTAAGGATATTTTGAAGGGGATAATCCCTATAGCGAACATATAGATGGAGAAAGTCATAGATATGTGGAGCCCAGACCTTCAAAACCTCACTCACATGAATAAGCTTGATTCCTATGGGCCTGTTCACACTGAACTAAATCATAATTTCTCTTTGACTTCAGTGATGCAGAACTGCTACCTAAAGAAATCGCACTGACTTTTATGGACGTCAAAAGGGGTGGACAGAAGTGCTAGACCTCTTGGCCAGGCCGGCATAGGACTGGCTCCATGCTTCCAGAAGAAGCAAAGTCTCGAGTAGAAGGGGCGAGGCTGTGGCTAGCCCCCTCCTTCACCACCTCTTGAAGCACCACCTGTAGCATGTAGAGTGGAGCTCCAGCAGTGATTTATGGACCCAGTTCTCCAGCCAGCAGTAGCAGCGGTGGCAGTCGGAAGCCCAGGCCCTTCTGAATCAATGGGCCCCTGGACAGTTGCCATCTTCTCCCTCCTTCCCACCGCAGGCAAGCCTGATGGAAGTATTTATGTAACAGCTAATCCCATGTAAGTATTTATGTGAGTAAGAGCTAATCCCATGAGTGAGGGTTTGCAGAGTCAGGTCATAGATGCAGCTAACCGCTGGCATTAAGAAAAAAAGGGAATCATGGGGGAAATGTATTTGTATTTTAAAGACACGTAAATGAAGGACTGAATACTTTGCTTTCCAGATATGTTGCCGTGAGTTAATTATTTGTGTTGTTCTAAGTCCCTTTTCAAATGATGTGACCATTGTTGTCTTATTCTCATCCTCAGAAATAGAGTGAACTCCTGGCCTCATTGAGGTCGATGGCAGAAGTCCCACTGGCGTCAACAGGGCGAGGATGTAACCCAAAGCGTCAAGGTTCTTGTTCTCACCATTCCTCTCTCTCACCCTGAATTAAATATATTCTGTCACCACCAAACTTTACTGGAGCAGAAAAGCCGCTTCTAATTCATTCTGCAAATTACTATACCTTATTTTATCTTAATTTTCATAAGACATGCCAGCGCTTCATAGCCCCATCAGAGCAATATTTGTAATGGCAAAGCAACACAGTATTATCTAAGGCAGTGTCCCCAAACTGTGAGGCATGCACCACCTGAGGGGGCACATTCAAGGAGCATGTGGGGGGGGGGATGCAGCGCCCACAGGGGGCTGAAAGGAAGTGCCACCCAGCTTCACTTTGCTCCCAGCACAACTCCACCCACAGCCCAGCTTTGGCTCCAGCTCCACTCCACAACCAGCCCCCTTCCAGTCCCAGTGACAGTTCTACTCCCCCCTTCCTCCCTCCCCCCCACCCTGCTCTGCCCCCAGCTCAGCCTTGCCCTCATTTCTTCTTCACTCCCAGGCCAGCTCCCCTCCTATCCCCACTTCAGCCCCCAACGTCACCTTCAGCCCATGCTCCTCCAATGAAGCAAATGTGTACTAATGGAAAGTGGGTGCAAACTGATTCCATTACCCTGGGGTGGGGAGTGTGACAGGAAAAGTTTGGGCACCCCTGCTCTAAGGTGACATTACAAAATACTTACAGTGGCCGCTTTTCAGCCAAATAGTGCTGAGGTCCTAAAAATAGCTGAAGAAGTCATAGCATCTCTAGTTTAGGAGACGGGCACAATCCTGCCAGCCCTCACCCAAGCTAGTAGCCCTTACTAATGTGAGTAAGTTCGCTGATGTGAATAGAATTGCTGGCCTAAGGATTACTCACAGGGGTAAATGGGGCCCAGCCTGAGGTTCTGGTCATCTCAACTATGCAATACTATAAGACTTAACCAGTGTTGCCCGGGTCCTTCATGGCAGGGGGCTGGTGGTGTGGAGAGGTACAGTAGTCAGGGACTTGGGCATGTGGGGGGAAAGGCAGGAGACTGGGAGTGTGGGGGTGTGAGTGAGAGTTGGGGGATGAGGGAGGGGCTCAGAGCAGGGGCCCATCCAGCGGGAGTTTCTCTCTCCTCCAAGCCAGTAGGACATTTTCTCTCCCCCAAGAACTCCCAGCTGACACAGGCCATCTGTCTCCCCCAAGTCCCCAGGTTGCCAAGGACCTTCTGTCTCCCCTTAGCCCCCAGGGGTCTTCTTTCTCTTTCTGGCCCTCCTTGCTGATGGGACCTTCTCTCTGTCTCCCTCCATCCCCCCACCCATCAGGGATCTTTTCCTGCCCCCCTCCTCTGGTGCTGCGGCCACAGGCCAGGGGGAAGAAAGAGATTGGGGCAGGCGGGGGCTACTTACCAGATCTGGTAACAGGCAAGATGGTGGAGCCGTAGCCCTGCTGGCCACACTCTTGTAATATAGTTCTCCCCTGCAGGCTTGTTGCCCCCAGAGACCATATTGCATCCCTTCTCTCTGTGTCCTTCCCGTTCCATGTTACGGAAAGCAGTCCCATTCCCAGCACTTCCCATTTTCTTGGCACAACCAAACCTGACCTTGCTTTTAAGTTAGGAGATGAGGAAGCTGCATATTTAATTTGGTGGTCCTAGTTCTTACTATTTAGCAGGAGTTCTTGAACAAATGGTCTCACAGACACACAGAGGCAGATGGACTCAGACACACAAATCTTACATAGATAGATAGATAGATAGATAGATAGATAGATAGATAGATAGATAGATAGATAGATAGATAGATAGATAGATAGCCACACTGCTGGTGGTATCAGAACATTTTGCATTACCTCTAAAAGATTTCTTATTCCTTATTCGTAATTTCTCTGGCAGTTTTGTGTCTTTAGGCAATGACAGAAACCGTGTTGTTTTGGTGATAGCCTGTGTAAATAAATGCAGAAAGTGTTAAGATATACTAGCATGAAATATCACATAATGAATACTGGGAACACAAGAGAGAAGTCTGAAAGAGTTTGTCTACATTAGGAAAAGGACTGAAGGTTAGGCTGAGGTTAGCAAACACATAATAGCTAATCATGCTCTTTTCTCGAGAACAAACCCAGGTTAACCTTTTGCAACACTTTGTGGGTGAAGGCCTGCCCTAGCCAATAGGAAGCCTAAGCTTCCGAATATCAACCAGCTAAACATACATAAAATATGTTAATATACCTCCACACTGGAGAAAAGGTCAGATTTAATTACATGTTCATTAACCCCCAACCTTCCCTTGACCACTTTTGCTAAAGTAGGCAAACACAAAGTCTTTCTATGCACAACCCCTGTTTAGAACTTTATTACTCAGTTTAAATTAGCACAAGGTTGAAAGTTGAATTACAAATTCTCAGAGCCAGAACAAATCTAGGCCCTGATCCTGTAATCACTTATGCATCTGAGAAATTTGATACATGTGAGTAATCCCAATGAGGCCATAGGGCAGGGCTACTTAAATTGTGGCCCGTGGGCTGCATGCAGCCCACAGCCTGTTTGTTTGTGGTTTCTGTTTACATAGGGCTCAACCACGGTGCAGTTTGGGTTTACTCGGGACTCAACACACGGCCTATGGGTGGGATCCTTTGAACATGGTCTCCACTGGGAACATACTTCACAATGGCAAGTCAATCGAATGGTCTTCTGTTGCTATTAGGGTTGCCAGGTGTCCAGTTTTCTACCAGACAGTCCAGTATTTGCACCGTCTGTCCAGTAGAAAAATTCAGAAAATACTGGACATGTGCAATGTGCAGTATTTTCTGAATTCCTAGCTGGGCGCCGGACGGAAGCCTGGCAGGGGCGGGGGAGCAACTGGGAGGCAGGGCCGTGATTGGTGCTAGGAGGCTGCGGTCGCATGCAAAAGCCGGGGGGAAGGGGGGCGGAGGAGAGGAGCTGGAACTCCCAGCCACTCCCCCTGCCTGGCTTCTG